AACTAACTACAAGGGAGGCGGGAAGGAAGGAAACCCTGAGCGCATAGTGCACTCTGTGTGTTGTACTGCATTCTGTGCTTTTCTGTATACATTAAGATTCCATGGTTACAGTGAAGCTGGGAGAAAGAGAGTCATCCTGTCCCTCACAAAAGGACAGGGTTCCCAAGTCACCCAGAGTTTAGGCTGAGACCATCCCACTCCAACGCCCCTGTGACCCTGGTCACATGTGCCCATGGCAAGGTGGGGTTGGCAAAGCTTTAGGGCTGTCCTGGTCCAGGGATGGCACAGACAGAGACAACTGGGCTATAGGACTGTGCCCTCTACTTCAAACCCATTTGCTCAATATCCATGCTTAGGGTGAGGTCTCAGGAAGCCCAGGAGGCTGCATCACAGCCTCTTGCTTCTTTTTGTCCATCCATCCATCCATCCATCTATCCATCTATCCATCCATCCATCCACCCATCCTTCCAACCATCCATCTGTCCATCTATCCATCCAACCATCCATCTGTCCATCCATCCACCCATTCATCCACCTATCCTTCCATCCATCCATCCACTCACCCATCCATCCATCCATCCACCTATCCATCCATCTGGGAAACCACAGACAAGAACAGCCATGCTTAGTGAGAGATGGGAAAGAGGATGCCTGGGGTTTTTTCACAGGGAGCTTCAATGCAGCTTCTTTGAGGACAAGAGCTTTATGCTGAGGTTGAATGTGGGCAAGAAGACAGCAAGAGGACCATGCCCATACGCTTCGGACAGGCGGCCGCAGCACCCACAGGACTTTGTGTGCACTGAGCTTGGCCTGGTCCAGATTAGCCAGCAGCCACTTAGCATTGTGGAGCTCTCAGGTGACCCTAAAACCACCAGGGCCCACAAGCCAGGGCATCAGCATCTCCTGGAGCTTGTTAAAATACAGAGTCTCAGGCCCTGCTGCAGACTCAGGAATCAGAATGTGCACTTAGCAGGCCCCAGGAGACCTGTGCAGGGAGGGCTGGAGACCTCTTCCCTGCCAGCCATTTTCAGTGGGGACAACAGCGCCCCCAAGGGGTAGACATTGGTTCTTGAAGGACGGGAAAGATGTACAGCTGTACCTTAGTGAATCATCATTAATTGGTTCCAGGAGGCCCCATAAGCACCAAAAATGAGTATCAAACAAACTGTTTTGGCTGGAAAGGCTGTCAAGTCACAAGACAATCGACACCGACAAGTTCTAGCTTGCACATCAAATATCAACCAAATGAGCACGGGGCAAAATTTTCAAGTCAAAATTCATCAAGGACCAAATTCCAGGAGTTTCAAAGCAGTGGTGTCCCAGGGACAGCCTTACTTCTGTGCAAAAAGTACACTCATGCGTGGAGAGCGGCCACGGAGATGCAGTTGTGTGGGGGAGGCACGAGGGAAGCAACGGCTAAAAAGGCGGGGGAACCTAGTGAAACCAGTCCAGACGCACGGAGGACTGGGGCAGGGCCAGGCTGAGGGGCTGGTGATCTCTCGTGTCGGGGGCCAGACTTGTCCCTGCACAGGTGAGGGGAGGGGCACAGAGGGATGAGCCGGGGACACCAACTGGGACCAAGCTGCGAGTGAGGAGGCAGAGAGGGGTCAAGGAGACAGGGACAGGTGTAGGGGCCCCCGAGGAGACCCGGTGCAGAGGGATCAGCAGGGCTTAGGATGCACTGTGCAGCCAGATACACACGGGCTCTCAAGAGATTCCCTCACCAAGACCCCACAAAGACATCTTTGCAGGTGGGGTTGACTTAAGGTTCTCAGGGTGACGTCATCCTCGGCCCCGAGTCCAGTGGCCAGTGTCGTCAGGGACAGACACACAGGGAGAAGGCCACATGGGGAGGACAGGGTTGTAGTGCTGCAGCCACAAGGAGGTACCTGGACCAGCAGGGACAGGAAGTGGCCTGCCTGGGGCTTCAGAGCAGGTGCTTTCCCGGACGCCTTGATCTGAGCTTCTGACTTCCAGGACAGGGAGAGAAGACATTTCTGCTGTTTTAAGCCCCTGGCTTGTGGCCACTTATGACAGTGGCCAGGGTGGGCCCCAGGGCCATCCCTGGTTTTAACAAGGAGGTCTCTGCCATGGACCCCAAGAGGAAGCGGGGTGGGGGCGACTTCGATTCCTGCTGCCACCCTGGGTTTAAAGGGCATCTCAGTCCCCTCCCTGCCTCGCTGTCTTGTCCTGATTCCAAGGGGTCCCGAGTCTGAGCAGAGGGGCTCCCTACAAGAAGCAGGGACAGAGTATGGGGGCCTGGAGACTGAGAAGGGGAAGCTGCTGGTGGGACCAACTGAAATGCATTCCCTGGGCTTAGGCTTTGGAGAGCCGTTTCCAGAGCGTAAATACCATCCCTGTCATTAGACATCTATTTATTGTGATTACACAGGAGGCTTCTTGGACAGCCCAGCGCACATTCCCTGTGTCTCTAATAGCCCCACTTAATACCTGCTCCCCGGCCACTGGCACCACAAACCTTCCTCCCTGTGGGCCTCAAACGCTGACAGGGCAAGGGGCATCTGGGAAGCATCGAAGGCAGGCTTTGGGCTTCTCAGCGCTCCTCGCCTGAGTCCCAAAGGAGGTGGACAGCAAGCACAGCAACAGATAGTGCCTGAGAGAGAAACTGTCACTGCTGATTAAACAGCAGAAACTGCCTGTCCTCCCTTGGAACCAGGAGCCTGCAGGTTAGAGGAGCAGCGCATTAGCAGAAGACAGGTGCTGCAGGGCTGCAGGGCCCTGCTGGGCAGGAGTGGCACCCCGGAAGGAGAACGCAGGGTTCCAGCACGCCCTCCGTCGATGTGGTCTCTCGAGCTCGGAAGAGCTCCGAAAGATCCATCCCAGGGAGCAAAATGAAAAGGAAAACTACAGGCCTGATTCTTTATGGCAGCACCAATACCAGGATGGCTGAGTACTAGGAGTGAATCAGCTCCAGGGACTCGCGTGCAGCCTTAAAAGAAATGATGACACAGACCACGTGACAACCTGGGAAACTGGAAACGCAGTTGATAAGTGAAAAAAAGACGGGAAACTTTATTCTATGTCTACAGCACTGGGAGAATGTCAGCATAAAAGAGAGAACATAAACAAAGAAAGTAATTGCGCAATGGGAAGGGACGTGGGAGAAGTTTCTTGAAATGACTAATGGTTTTGCATGCATTTTTAATAAAGGCAGGAAATGTCTGGGTATAGAGATGGTGATGAGGAAAGGAATGAGGAAAGCTGAAAGCTGTTGATTTGCTTTGGGGAAAAACTAAATTTAGACCGTGCGCCAAGCTAGGGCTGTTTCGTGTCCCACCTCACTCTGTCTGTATAACCTCATCTTAGGGCCGTTTCGTCCCCATTTTCCAGATCAGGAGACTGAGGTCTGGGAGGGGGAGCCTTCCTCCCCTCGGCCCCTGCTTCTGACCAGTTCCGCATGGTACTTGTTCGTACAGAGTCCCAGGCACAGGGCACGGGGCTGGCCATGCTCAGCCAGCCACTCAGTGAAAATACACAGCAAATGTGAACTGTGCCCACCGAGTCTGTCTGTGTAGACGCAGAACACACCCAGAAGGAGCCTTCGCTGCCCAAGCAACACGCGAGACAGTCTCATTCCCTCCATCTCTAGCCCTGGAGAGATGCTGCATAGAGAAGGACCCCTGGCAGTCTGGATGCACTTCCGGTTGGGACTCATGCCAGCGAGGTAGCTGAGGGGTCTCCGTCTACTCACAGCCAAGGGAACCCAGCCCTCCCTCACTGCTGGTCCACTTAGCAGCGAGGGTACGTCCCCCCTCCCTGGCCTGCCCTGCCCGAGGAGCCGTGACCCCAAAACATAAACCCCCAAAGAGAAGCCAGTGAGATCTCACTGGAGTTTGCCACTTGCACTATCTCTGCTCTCATCGGGAAACAATGCCGGGCTCTCCCAACCGTGGAGCGGCAAAGAGGAGCGAGCGAGGCCACACAGGATGCCTCCTGCAGTCAGAATGCGGCCCAGGCCAGCTCCTCCTGGCAATGGTGATGGAACTGGGGGACAGCAGGTGATTGGGGGGTGAGTCACAGCATTGGGAGGGCCACCCGGGAAGCAAGAGTGGCCTCATTAACACCATAGGTGACCGCACATCCCTGGCTCAAGGAGACACCAGTCCTTACACCAGACAGCCCAATGACTTCCTGAGGGCCCCTCCTGTAGCTCCATGAGCGCCGCTGTGGACCAAGGTGTGGACTCAGACCCCTTGCCTAAGCAAAGGCAACAGCCAAGAGTGAGCCCAGCCCAGGCTGCACCCCACAAATCAGAAATCCTGATGGGCAGGTGTTCCCCAAATAGGAAAGCATTACAGATGAATGGATTCTACTCGAGAAGCATATATTGGAGGCCAAAATGGCTCCACCCAGGGAATCACCGGTGAGGCAGAAGCAGATCCCTGGTGGGAGAGGAGTCCTGAGCTCACACCCTCCAAGCAAAGCAAGAGGATGGCGATCAGGAGATCAGGAGAACGGAGCCACCTTCTCCCTCTGACGGCTGGAAACATCAAAGGGTGCTAGTGCTCTTGGGCCAGTTCACACTGCACATAAAGAGACAGCTCTGCCCTTCGATGGATTATTTATTTACTAAGAATCCCTTCAGCTTAGGAGCCAGGGAGAAAGAAAAATCTCAACAATGAGGCCAGCAGGAGCCTCAGGCTACAGGAGTGGGAGCTGGCAGGGGAAATGGGGCACTGACCTGAATTCATTATGCGAACCCTTCTCCTGCAGGGAGGAAACAAAAAGAAGGGAAAACACTGGAAAGAAAAGAGGAGCAAGCAAAGAAGCCCTAGGTCCATTTGCGGGGGACATGGCGCCTGCTGACCGCACTCCTGATTCGCTTTCTTTCAACTTCTCCTTCACGCATTTTCCAGCTGAAGGAAAGTTGCAAGGTCACCAAAGCACGGGAGCTGTGACACCAGGCTCTTTTTGGTCCTCAACCGGAGGCCCAAGACCACACACAGGCACACGAGGAGGCCACCGCTGGGCTGACTTACCGCCACAGGGAACTCTCCAGAACCTTCCCCATGTCTGCATGGTAGTACTTCGTCAGGATCAATATCACCTGTGGGTTAACAGAAAGGAAAAGGTGGATGTCAGTGGATTCCAAGGCTCCCCAAGAGGGACACAAAAACCATCCCTACCCTTCACTTGGGTCTATCAAATAGCAGCTGCCCAGGGCCCTTGCACCATCACACACATATGCAAAGTGTCTTGAGTGTGGCTTCAGAGTGACTTTGGGGACAGCACACTCCTATGAGATCCTCCCATTAGCTGCCATTCGGTGGGAACCATTCAAACCCAGCCCCGGTCAACCTCAAACTGTGTCCAGAGGGACAGGGGAGACGACAGACCTGGCGTAGACGCCAAACACTCAGCGGGGCTCTCTCCACCTGTGGGCCCAGCACCAGCCGGAAGTGGAAGTGGCTGCTGTCCTTACGTTTCCCGTGGGGACTGACAGGAGAGGCGAGAGGTAGCAAGGCAGCCCAAGGGGCTCCATAAATCACCGGCGGCAGGCATACACCTATTGTGTTGTTAACTATTCCACACACACACAGGGCCCTGCACAAGTACCAAAGCTGGGCAGAAATGCAACTGCTTAGAAAATGAAAATAGATGTGTTGCAGAGCACTCTGATGTTCCTCAAAAGCAGCGCGTGAACACAAATGAATAATAAATAAATAAATACGGACGATGAGGAATCGTCGGCCCCCGTGGGGAAAAGAGATTGATCCCCAATTACTGCACTAGCCACTGAATCCTCGGGCACATCAACTTTCATTTCATGGGCCGCCACTCCGCCTTAGCGGTTCCTAACCGTCTGTTGCCATGGGAACCCCGGAGGGGAGACTGGACGCCGTCTGGGGCTCCCGGTGTGACGCTTAGCCTGGTTACTTCAGGGTCACCACACGGGCCACCTCCACCCTCCGGCTTCTCCAGAGGCAGAAGTTTCTTGGTGCTGGGACTTGTGGTGGCGTGGCGGCCACCAGCAGCCTGGCCGCCCTTTCCCCGGAGATTAGAGCGGGAAGCGAGGAGGAGAGGGTGTCAGCCGGGATGGGACAGCGCTCCACTGAACAGCAGGGTGATTGAAAAAGAAAAAAGCAAAAGCGAGACCCTGTCAATCACAACAAGGTGGCGCTGCCTCGCTGGGGAACAAAGCCGTTTCCTCTCCTGGCTCCGAGCCTCTGAAGATGGAGGAGGCAGGTGGAGTGACAGGGCCTGGACGGGCAGGAGACAAGCGTATTTTTAACCTATTGATTTATATTTTACATGGTCTCGCTGTCCCCAGAGAGGCTTTTGTGGAGCCAGAGCGTGACAGCTGGAAGGAACCTCAAAGTCGGTTTTATCCAGCATCATCCAGGATGAAATCATTGCTCCATCAGGCAGGATGCAGGCTCCGCTCCAACACCTCCAGGGACGGATGGGGCTCTCACCCTCTCCCCAGCACTCAGGCTGCTGTGGGCTGCTGGGTTTGGAAGCTGGCCCTTGAGGAGGCTGAGCTCGTCTGGGAACTCCTGCTACGTGGGCCAGCACTGCGGCCAAGGATGCTGACTGAGCAAGACTGCTTCCTCCCTTCCCTTCTGCGGAGACTTCCTGCCACCCATACCCGCCCTCTCGCTGGAAGCCCCAGCAGCCTAGGCCTTTGCACAGGCTAGGACCCTCTTCCCTGGCTCCACCCCTGTCGTTGGGCTCCCCCCACTCAGCCCTCAGATCTCAGCTTGCGGGAAGACCCCCACATGCACCCAGCACCGTCACAGGCCCCACCCCTCCCTCTGCCTGGCCCATCCCGTCTTCGCAGGTGGAGACCTGCCTTGTCCCAGGTCCACTTCCCCTCCCAACCTCACAGTCCTATCCCCTCCCCATGCTGGGGTGGGACAGGATTGCCCCACTGGGACCGCCCAGCGCCCTAAGCTGAATGGAAGTCAGGTGCCCTGGGCCCCAGGACCTGACAGGAAGCCACCCCGTGGCCTGGAGCTGGACTGCAGGCAGCCCCCCAGCCCCACTCTGCTGCCGAGGCAGGGGGGACCCCAATGTGGGCCAGACCCCCGGGCTCCACCCCTGGCTCTGCAAAAGCCCCCTGGACCCTCGGCCTCCTGTTCTCTCCAGGACCCAAGGCCCCGGTGCTATGGCCCAGGGCAAGCATGGCCTGTGCCCTGCTGTGCCAGGCACTGGTTATGGGGTTCACTCACTGCACCCCCCTTCCCAGGAGCCCCCCGAGGAAGCTCTTCGGATCCCTGTTTCTCAGATGAGGAAACAAACAGAGTGCTGGACATTTCGCCAAAGCACCCATGCAGCAGGCACAGAGCCTGAGTCTCCGCAGGAGCCACATGGCCAGGCCTAACAGAACGGGAGGCGCCTCGGGGTGCTCGCCAGCAGCACTGGAAATGGCATCTCCTGGGAGCCACTCGGCACTGCTGGTGTGAGCGGCCTGTGGGAGCTCTGATCTTGTAGGGAGAGCACCCCAGAATGTGATGGGGCTCTGGGGTGCGTCCAAGTCGAGGGTCCCCTCCCACCTCAGCCCAGCCAAGGCCAGGAACCCTGCCCGGGAGACCCGGAGCCACTGAGCAGGAGACAGGCAAGGGAAGAGACGCTGCCAAGGGAGGCCGGGCCACACAGGTCACTCCTTCCTGTCACCGGCTTCTCCACCCACGCCCAGTGCTCCTCGCCCGGGACAGCAGTGCCAGGACCTGTCTTCACTTTATAGGAGCATCTGCTCACGTACACCAGGTGCCGCATCCCCGAGCCCCTGTCCCTGAGCTCACATCCCCTACTGACTGCTGAGCGAACTGAGGCCCTGCATGAACAGCCCGCAGCAGAGCCAGGGCCTCCTGTGCCTCAGCCCGGGCTCTTGCGCCTTTGTCACTGTCCCCAGGCTCCATGATCCACCTTCTCAGCATGGGACGCACAGATGCTGAGGCACCAGCCCCCAGTCCTGGCCAGCCGCCCTCACCCTAAGACCAACCATCAGCAGGCAGCGGGGTCCTCGGACCGGGGGAGCCGGGGCCTCTGACCTCAGGGATAGAGCAGATGGCCCCCAGCCTATTGTCCTGGGCTCCGGGCCGATGGGGCTTCCTGCCCCGGCACAGGCTGCTTCTCCTCTCAGCCTCTCGTCACTCTGGCCAGGCATGGAGGAGCCTGGCTAACAACAGCTGGGTGCACGAATCAGCTGGGCAGCATAAAAAAGCCGGGCCTGACTTGGGGTCTGCCCCAGGGTCCCCCACAGACAGGTCCCCTGGGTAGCAGGTCTCCCCAAAACCTTTGTGACGACAGCAACCACAGCAAATGCTGGTCAAGTCCCCCCACCCTTCATGCATATCTGGCACAGCCCTGCAAGCAGGATTGTAGCTTCTGGCCTCAGCCCCCAGGATCTATCTGTGAAGGTGACCCCATGCAGTAGTGAGGTTGTGGGTGATGGCTGCACCTTGCAGGGGTACATACTGTGCCTGGCCTCTGCATCCCTGTCCCTCAAGGGACCCTGCAGGACATGCCGTGTTCGAGGCCCAGAGTCAACAATGCCACACCCACCAGGGAGCTGTTCCAGAAGTCACCCCACAGTGCCACCCTTAGGACCACCTCACCCCCAACTCAGCATTGGGGCTGGAGGGGCACCTGGCTGGTGGGTCCTTGGGGTCTTGTCTGCCCTTTGGGGTCACCACAGCTGCCCTGGTTAGAGCCATGGCCAGGCAGAAGATGGCAGACCCCTTGTAGACCCGCTTGCTCCCACCTTCCTGTGCTAGAGGTGTGGATGTGTGTGTAGGCCTGTGTGTGTACCGTGTGTGTGTGCATGTGTGCCACAGACCACAGAGCACAGCAGTGCCAGGCCCCCCGGGCAAGGCTACCCACCCATCCGGCCACAGCTTTCTCCCCAGCTGCAAACCGAGAGAGACACTCGTTCCCAGCCTTCTCTGGGGGAGGAAGGAGGTGGGATTCATGGGGCATCGCCTGCCTGGCTTCATCCAGATTCCTCTTCCCCCTGCCGGCACCTGGAAGAGGAATCTGGATGAAGCCATGCAGACTGCGTGTGAACCCTGGCCCTGACGGGGTGGGCTGGGCCCGGGAGGCCTGGCTGGCGTGAAGCAAGCCCTGCTCCAGAGGGAATGGGGTGGACCAGCGGGGTGGCCTTGGCAGGAGCCTGGGGGTCGGGTCTGTCCTGCCTGTGGGATGGAGGCCGCTCCAGCTATGCCCTCTCTGGAGGGACACCCTGACCCTGACTGGCTCTGACTCGCCATGGGGGGGGGGGCAGAGGTGACCCCAGGAGGGGTGGACTGAGGCTCACACAGGTGCACTGAGGTCTCACCCAGCCCAGAGGTTGGCTCCATCCCACTGCCCAGGTCAGGAGCGGGGGTGACACAAGTGGCGAAGGCCACCCACAGCCCAGGGGACAGCAGAGCATGGGCCTGAGGCCAAGACTGCAGCCCCTTCTCAAGCAGCACCCCAAGGTGCCCTCTCCACCCCGCTCTGCTCCGTTCTCAGGAAGGGGCTGGGCTGAACAGGGCCTGCTCCAGAGATTCCTCCTCTAGGAAGAAATTGATTCCACTTAAGAGGTGTCGATTCTGCCTCTACTTACGGGGAGAGGGATCTCACATCACTGCTAAACACCGCTGAGGGGCACATGGGGATCCACAGGGCTCAAAAGCCACTTGAGGGGCTGCTCCTCCCAGGGCGATGCCTCGGTCAGCGCCACTGCCCCCCACACACCCCAGGAATCCTGCTGTGACGCTGCCCACACTCACTCAGGCCCCAAAGCCCCGGGTGCCCTGCATTCCCCAAACTCAGCATCCAAGAGTGCCTGAGGCCTCCCGGGGTAGGCACAGCCACCGTCATGAGCACAGGGCCGCCCCCAGAGAGCAGTCCCCATGGCAGCCCTCATCCCTGTGCAGCCCCAGCCCCTGCGGTGAGGCCCCTCAGCTGGGGCTGCTGGGAGCGCGGGCTCCAAACTTGGGTCACCTAGCACCTCAGAGCAGCAGTGTGGACAAAGTGAGTTCAGGGTGCAGTGCATCCACAGATAGCGAGTCACCAGGGCCCGGGGCTTAAGGTCAGGCTTGGGGTCAGCATTAGGGATTA